GAAAGCTTTGCCAACAAAATACTTGAACGCATTTTCTAAATTGTCTTCATCCCTTTTGAAGAAGAGACCGTTGCTGCCGATGATGACGACGATGATTATATCGGGTGTTATTATCCCCGTCCTTTCTATTGTCGTGGTAGACTTATTAACACCAACGCGTTTCAACAACGTCAGTGGCGCGGGGTAATGGAGAGGCAAAGCACAATATATTGAAAAACACAAATTGTGCAAATTATGTGGCAAATGTTTCTTAGCATTTGTCAATGGTAGATAGAACGAGAGAGAGAGGGAGAGTGAGCTGCACGAGTGAACGTGTGTCTGCTGAAAGCTCCGGAAATCCGCTTTCAAATTACGCTAGTATTGTTGTCCTCCCTTCACTAAACACTGTTGCAGGGTGAGTGGGGTGCGATGTGCATTTTCGACTGTTTTGTCGCAATATGTTGTTATTTAAAATCCAATTCATCTTGGATTTGTTTAAATAAATGGCTGCGAAATGAAAGGCTAGGAATTTCATATTAGCATCCTGCGGATCAGTAATAATTAAGTTTTTGAAATTGTCAGAACTTGAGTTTTTACCCGAACCGCATAGAAGTCAAGTTATTTCAGACATTGTCTTTTTAGCACTTCACCAATTCGTTATACAAGAGAGTGACCTCCCCCAAATATGCAAATCACCTACTCTAGAAGTAATACTTTCAAAAGTGCGTTGTCGCTCCCAGAAATACCTTGAAATAATTAAAAGTACTACTTAAATCATTTTTATTCCGTGAAACTAAATAAGTTTTTTTTTTGAAAAAATAAAATAGGTTTTTTTTAATGTTTATATTCGAAAATGATAGGTTAGAAAATCATAGATATTTTTCTATTTGGTAAAGCGATTGGGAAAAGGGAGAGTTGGTCTTTCTTGCGGATGGACTTATCCTTCGAAAGACGAACGGCAATATATATTAACAGATCATTATATTGTTTACAAGCGTACAAAAGCATTTTGGTGATAATTTTCTAGAAAAAAAGGTACTCGTGATGGAGTCAAGCGTGATAGTGTGATTTCTTTATATTCGGCTGGAAAACCACAAGTGGCTATCGTTAGAGCACTCCAGCATTTAAATGTGAGTAAATCTTTTGTGTCTCGTACCATCACTCGTTACCGTGATAGTGGTAGCGTAGCTCGACGTTAAGGAAGTGGATGGAAGAAAACAGCAACATCAGCAGAAATGGTTCGAAAAGTAAAGTAAACATGCGTCGCAGTGGCCAAAAAAAGCCAAAATTATATATATATATATATATATATATATATATATATATATATATATATATATATATATATATATACGGAAATAAAAAATAACCAGTTTAAGATGTATACCCTACCCAATGTTCCATTGTTTAAATATATTTTAACTTCTATGGAGTGGGTTCCGAAGAAATGGGCCATTTCGTATCGGACCCTACCCAATGTTCCATTATTTAAATATATTTTAACTTCTATGGAGTGGGTTCCGAAGAAATGGGCCAATATTGGCCATTTCGTATCGGACCCTGCCCAATGTCCCATTATTTAAATATATTTTAACTTCTATGGAGTAGGTTCCGAAGAAATGGGCCTTTGTGGGGCAAGAGTGGACCCATATTGTCCATTTTGCAAAGTTGAAGCAAAATCGGATGAGGATTTCTCTTTCTGTGCACTCAAATATTTTCTTTGATTTCGACCTTTTTGGAGGTACCAGAAGGAGTGGATCCATATTGCCCATCTCCGAACTCGATCAAATTTCGATAATAATATTGTTTCAAGTTTGGACCAAATGCGTGCGCACCAGCCAGACGGACGTAGGGATACCTTCAGATCGACTCCCAATGTCCTGAATTGGAATTGGTCCAAAGAGACCGTTTTGGAGGTATCAAATGATATATACCCTCTGTATGCTGCAAAACTAAGGGTATACAAATATGTAAATCTTAATTCGGACGAAGTTAAATTTTGAGTGTACATGATTCCTTTGGCATCGAAGTCGTGATTTGAGCAAGTCGTGCATTTTGCATGTTAGGTCACAAGCGTAGTAAAACAATTGTTTCTGAAGAATAGAAATTTTGAAGACTACAACAAATTTATTTATCAGAAAGGACACAATTATTTTTAGGTTCAGCATAAGAAGGCTCTGGAAACGGGAAGACAAAAATTACGCTTTGAGATCTATTTTGACAGACAAATCTCATTCGGCAAATTAATAAAAAGCAAGTCAAAAACCAGATAAGTTCTGTCGGCCTGAACTTTGAAAATATGTCCATAAGTGACGGACCAACAAGCAGGCAGAGGGAATGATTACTATTACAAACAATGCATAATACCTCCACAAAATGCAAATCGGGTTAGCCAATTTTCTCTTATGGAATACATGGAGGGATCTATACGAATCCGTGGGTCATATAGAGCTCTACCTGGCTTATTACTTGGTATCCACTAATACCAAATTCAAAATAATTATTTTTGAAAATGTGACTTCAATTGTTAACATAACGATATCCCACTTTCAATCCCATAAGGCATAACATGCGTATGGCCAACAGTTTAACCATCTAGGTCGAGCCCTTCGTGTTTCAATGTAGAACAAATATGGGAAAAGTTGGCGGCGTCTGGCGATTTTTGATTGCAAATTTCTTAAAACTGCACATTTTGTTTCCCCAATAATTCACCTTCTCAGGCTGTTAGAAGCCACTTATTGCGATAAAAAAAGTAAACAGAAACTGCTCAGGTTAATAGTTTATTTATCGCTCTGTCAGCAACGCCTAGTACGGCACTGATTGATGATTATTGCTCGTAGTTAAAACGAAGGTTGCCTGAGTACAATCGTCAGTTTAGCACAGATTACATGCGAGAATGTTTACGCCTACGTTTGCAATTTTCTTTAGTATTGACATCGTAAACACGGAAATTACACCTATGTCGATTCAAAATGCTTGGCAAATGCATATTTGTAGTCTGAATGGGAATGTGAGGTATTATCTTTATTGTTCGAACCGGGAAATGTTTATATTTATATATAGAGTCTTGAAATTTACACAAGACTTTTGAAGGTTGGTTGAAATTTGATACCTAGGATTAAATGGACAATCCACTTTTCTGTAGATTTGAAGGAGAATTTCTGTTAACAGGAGCATTAGTTCCTCTGCTAACATTCTACCATTGGTTTTCTGTGCAGCAAGAAGTAATTGGCAAATTTTAAGAAGCACACTCGAGGAGGTTGTTTGGTGAAATTGATTTAAAACACAGTGGAATCTTTGCAATTCTCTTGGCCTTTTTCGAATAACATTTTTACCCGAACAAAACAAGCATGCGTTGTCAATTACGAATCGCCGCTACCCCATTGTGTCAAATACAAAAGCTATACCATTTTACAATGTTTAATAAGCAGTTTAGGTCACATGTGTACATACTTGCAAAATGTGTAGACTTGAATTTTGTGTGTGTACGTGTGTGCGTGCGGGCGTGTGGGCGTGCGGGCGTATTTTGGGTATTTACATCTGGTATTGTATATCCCATTACATATTTGAAATGTGACTAATGCGGTTGGCATTTAACCGAGTGGACATAACCCCTACAACTCATTGAGCCTGGAAACGTAAACAAAATGCTTAGGGTATTCATTAGACCCCACTTGGATCGGTTTAGGTGTGTGGCTAATGGCACTTTATCTGCGTACCACTTGTGGTTTCTGAGTTAGCTTAAATGGGGCAGAGTATCCCTTTTGCGTGGTGGTGACATTAAAAGTCAACCTTTTGTCCCCGCTCTTTAGGCTTTATGGCGATTGTTTAGAAAAGAAAAGATAGGGAATTGTTAGTCACCCGGGCCATATGTTCATTTCATATTCCTAAATCTCTCAGCCGCCGTACACGTGAGTGTGTGAGTCTGTGTGTACACGGGCTTTATGTGAGAGCTCTCTTCTAAACCACAGACTTTTGTTCCTTTGCTGTGGATGGAACACCAATGCGTGGGACGGTTCTAGCAGTCACCCCCTCTCCCACATTTCGTTCTGGGGTCCAAAGTGGCACTTTGAGCCATTTACGTTAATATTTTATATGAAGAATCACTCAGACAAATTACTTCAATGAAGCACTTTGATTAATTGAATTATAAAATTATGTGAAAGAGGATAATGCAAATACAATTAGAAGTTATTAAATTAAATTTGGAAATATGCATTCGTCTTGCCGAGGGAAAGCAGAGCGGCAGGCACTTGAATTTGTGGTTAATTTTGCCAGCCTAAAGTAGAGTATCGTTGGATCAGGGTGAGGAAGTGATAGTTTTGAATACCAACACCAACATTTATGCGTTGTTCATTGTTGGTAGTTGAGAGTATAAATGAATGGCAATTAAGTTTGTTGCTGTTCTGCTTTAGTTATATAATGCTTGACAGAAAATTGCACTCTAATCACGTGCTCTCCGTATCTCCAGACTTATTTACAAAAAAGTTGAATATATCCAATGCTTTGTTTTTTAAGATGCAATGTGGTTTCAAATAAATTTGCGGAAATAGTGTTACATCGACTAGAAAGCTAGAAAATAATTTCAAACCTCTCCAAATTCCGTCATTTCCATATCACACCATTTAGCTTACCAATCAGATTAAAATTGTATGATAATTCTAAAATTAAGAATAGATGTAGATGGAGCTTCAAAATTCCCAAGGGTTTTGGAAATTTATATTAAAACTATTTATGAATGGCATGGAAACACATTAAAAAATATGGCAACATCATGCAATTTCAGGATTTTCCGAATTGAAAAAGAAAATGTACTTCGAAGTCTATTCAAAAACTTAAATCACATTTAAATATTGCACTACATAAGCTAAAGAAAGGATTTGTGTCCTTCGGATATGGAATAAATAACCCTTTTTTATTTGTTCCCCATGTCTCGGGTAATTGGCGAACAAGGTCGAGAACTACGGACAGAATGGTTGCCATATTCAATATAAATAAACTGTAAATAGATTCAATATAAATTTCCAAATTGATAGTGCTGACAGGAGTCTAAACCTTGAAAGATGATAAATACTGAATAGAACTAAAACTATACGATTATGCATAAATGGCTGAAAAAGGTAAATAAAAGTACAGTGGTACAAAAAGTACTGCTGGTACCAAAAATAGTGCCTATGCGCATTTTGAAAGCGAGCTTCTAGCATGGCCTTCCATGCTAGAAGTTCGCTTTCAAAATTTTAATCAATATCGATTGCGAACAAAATTTGACTTTTTGCTTGAAAATGAAATTATCTTTCTAGAGTTGTACAAATTCTGTAAACGTCTTCCAGCTTGTTACTGATGTTTAGTTTGAAATCACTGTACCTGCCGCCCCATTGACTAATCTCAACAATAAATATCCGCAAAACAGAAAACTGTTACACACAATAGATAACTATAACCTGGGTAAATCACCACATAACGCTTAGTTTGGCACAAAGAATAGACATGCTAAGATCAGAGTCTCTCATTAGGCCGCAGCCATTTCTGGGCGTTGAGTACGACGTGACAAATAGACTATGGAAGTCCACCACTTATCCCTATGGCAATGTCTCAAACCGATCTGTGGGCGAGGCTTTTCTTGAGTCTATGCGGTCGCTGGACCCAAACACCATTTTGGAGTATCATTATGACCTGAAGAAGGAGAAGAGCGCAAGGGATATTTGCCAGGAATCCATAAGGGTGGCATTGAATTTACGACGGCTGGGGTTGGAAAAGGGTGACGTAGTTGTTTTGTTTACCGGATACACATACATGACTTCTGCACTGACCTTCGGAGCCCTATTGATAGGGGCTGTTGTGAACTTTTTTGAAGTACAATTGGAGCAAGGTATACATCTATGCAGGCGTGAATGCTTAGTAATTGTATTTTCCTTTCAGAGGGACTGATTGATGTCATGGCAACGATAGAGCCTTCAATAATTTTCTACGAAGAGAGTTTTCGGCACAAAATTGAAAGCTATTTGGACCAAAAGACACGAAACTCCCTAAAATACACTTTCCTTGTCGACGGGGCCGAAGCTGATAGGTTTAGAGAGGAAGTTTTGAAAGCTTCCAGCGAATCGATTTACCCAAACTTCCGTCCAATGAGTACAATAAATCCCCAAGAGGATGTTGCTTTCATAGTACTGACGTCGGGGTCGACAGGCACGCCCAAGGCGATACAGTTGAGCCATGCCGCCGTACTGAATGGCATGTACATATGGTGGGCAAACACTGACAACTATGAACAGCTGAACTCCGAGTCGGTATTATTTTCTTTGAGTCCACTGCGATGGATTAGTCAGCTGGAGCTCCTACTGCAGTCGGCAATTTTGGGCGTTAAACGCATTTGTGCAAACCGAGCGGCCACTGGGTCGTATGGCTTAAGCATTTTAAAGGAAACGCAGCCTACACACATTTTTTCCGTTCCATCCTTCTTTTACGAGGTTCTGCTAGAGCTTGCAGATGACGATCGAAATAGTTTGCAGTCGTTGAAGTTCATACAACTGGGCGGAGAGTATCCATCGAAAACAATTTCCGAAAAAGCCAAGCTCCATGCACCTAATGCCCGCCTTTACTATAGTTATGGAATGTCAGAAGTTTCAGGATCCATAACAAATGACGAGCACATCAGTGGCGGGAAACTCCAACCTGGGTACCAAGTTCAAGTTTTGAATGATAACTTGGAGCCCCTGGGTTGTAACGAATATGGCCGTTTAGCAGTTGGCACGCCTTACAAATTTCTGGGTTACAAAGGCGTAGAAAACACCGAATACTTCCTACCCAATGGAATGTTTTTGAACGGTGACTATGGATATTTTGACCGCGACAACATTTTACACCTCTTGGCTCGATATGCAGATTTAATAAGAATAGGAGGCATTGTAGTAAGTAAAGTACCGTGCCGTTTATATTTGTAACCTAAAATGTCAACATTTCAGCTAATACCCAAGGTAGTGGAGTCTTTGGTCATGTCTGTCCCCGACATCCAAATAGCTCGGCTTGTTGGCAGTGCAAAATCTGATGAGGGAACCGATCAGGCTGTTTGCTTGTTCCTGACATTGCAGACAAGGTCGATGACTTCAAGCCAACATATCCTTGAGAGTGTGAAACGTGTGTTGCGTTCAAAGCTACAGCCCTATGAGTGTAACGTGATCCACCACGTTGAAATTATTGAAAAATTTCCATTGACGACTTGTGGCAAAATAGATCGAATTGCGTTGGCCCAGTTGGTCAGGAGAAGATATTTACCGATCGATGATGAGGTCAGGTGCAAATCGGGCTTTTAATGAGCGAAATAAAGAATTTTAATTGTTTTCCTGTTGCTGATTGCGTCAATAGCCGATTAACCGGTTCTGACTGAATATTTGTGGGGTGCATTATCGAGGAAAAAGTAATAAAAGGCAAAGGATTAATTATTTTTTCGATTGGTTTTTATGTCAACACCGTTATTCGTTATTCTCTATTATCTTCTTCTTCTCTATATCTTTAAAAGAGGAAAATGGTTTTAAGTTTGTTTGTTTGTAATTTATGGACTCAAAAACCGCTAAACAGATTTTCCTGAAAATTTCCCAATATTTGTATACCCTCCACCATACTATGGAGGGTATATTAATTTTGTCATTCCGTTTGTAACTCCTCGAAATACTCATGCCAGACCCAACAAAGTATATATAGGGTAAGTGTGCCTAAGTTCGGCATCTCCCAGTAGTCGGCACTTTGTATTTTTAAGCCCAAATAAATGAAACTATTATAACTAAATGTTTTTTGTTTACTTCAAATATATAGTCAGCTATCTTTGTGTACAATTTCGCTAAGAAAAGATGACTTATTCTAATAAAAATTAAATTCTTTCAGTGTCAATGAAAATTTTTGTCGAGATAAAAATCTGAAATTCCGTACTAATTTACTAAAATGTGCTCAGAAATTCGAAAACGAAACTAATAGAATAGAACTGCAATATTTTTAAATAGCGAACGTGTCTGTTATTAAAAAATATCAAAAATAACGGTTCGTAAGAAAAACAAAAAATGGCAAAGAAAGAGAGTACTTTTAAATGTCAAATATATTTGACAAAAACACTGAAAGGGTTAAGAAAAGTACAATTATTAAAACTTTATTTTTTATTGCAAAAACTATACAAAATTTCGAATCTGAATAAATTAACTTTGTAATAATTGAAAAGTTCCACTCAGAATGGTGAGCGATTAAAACGCGAAAATCCTAAAAGTGCCGACTGGTACACTTACCCTATTCTTGATCAGCGTAAAATTTTAAGACGATGTAGCCATGTCCGTCTGTCTGTCTGCGTGTCTGTCTGTCCGTCTGTCTGTTGTAATCACGCTATCTTTCGAACAAATTAAGATAGAAGGCTAAAATTTTGCACACATGTATATTTTGCCAGTAGGCAGGTTAAGTTCATAAATGGGCCATGTAGGTCCAGGTTATCATATAGCCCCCATATAACGGTACTTCCCGATATTTGGTATTTTGATGAATTTAGCGACATTATTCACCGGAATTGTTTCAAATTTGGCATTTGAAGTTCGTAATGGATACTACAGCCTAAGACAGAAAATTATCTGTGCAGGTCCACGTCTTCATGTAGCCCCCATATAACGGTACCCCCCGATATTCGGTATTTTGATGATTTTAGCTACATTATAAACAGATTTTTCTTCAAGTTTCGCATTTAAATATTAAAATAATTTATGACAAAAGTTGCCATGCAGGTCCACGTCGTCGTATAAGCATTCTGTATTTTTAAGATTTTAACAGAATTTTTAACGGATTTTATTTTTTTTTCGAAATTGCCAAATTTGTACCGACTGGTGCAGGGCATTAAAAGTTCGGCCTGGGCGAATTTACAGCTTTTTTATTTGTTGAAATTCCACCTGAAACTGAAGATATTGCATCAGTATTGTATGTAGCTCCAAATATATATATATATATATATATATATATATATATATATATATATATATATATATATATATATATATATAAATCAATTTTCCATTACTTCATTTATTGCTTTTCTTCAATCCATTTAAATTGCGTGCTACACTTTCAAATTAACAATTACCTTCATTCAAGTATTTGGTCTCCCATTTTGTTCAAATAAGCAGAGCAATTTGTAAATCCATCCTTCCAAAATAACGAATGCTGCCAGGATAGCATCTGATATCCTATTGTATTTCAGATAAAACAGATCTATGACATGTTAGATGGCATGCAGGCAACAATTGTACTTTCAATGGTCACATGCTCGATGCGATCATGATTAATTGCCTTCATAAGACTGGTGTTGAGTTCGTGTGGCAGTATAATGTTGCAACATGAGCCCATTCGCAATAATGCCACTTGTGTTGTTGTTGTTACGTTTGGGCACACATTTCCGTCGAAGCAGCTCCTTTCCAATTCCAAAATTAACACCAGACGCGTTATACATATGAACGCATATATACGTTAATTTGGCCCACCTCTGCCAACTCAATAGAGAGAACATTATTTTACGAAAGCTTGTCTTATATCTGGCCGAATGTTCACGCTCTATTCCTGCATCATACTTCAGAGGAACACCCTATGGTACTTGGGGCTTTTTCATGTGTGTGTGTGTGTAGTTGTGTACAACATGTACAATAAAATTCAAACGCGATTGGGAACGCAATTTACGATCCGACCAGACAGCCGCAGTTCTCATCCAAAGTGATTTGGATGGGTGGCAGAATTCTCGCACAGCGTCGTCTAAAACAGAAAGTCCAGGAGCTCGGGCAGGTCTGATTGCCTCATCAGCTTTTGGTCGAGTATTTTTGTTTCAATGAAATTTAGTACAACATGTTAAATTTGACAAGCTAACAGATGCATGTGAAGTTTAACACAGAAATATTGTTACAATAAAAACACAAACACACTCGTCGAACTCGAACACAGCAACACTGACGTATGGCAACAACAAAGGATTAATCGTCCATCCAGTGGTGAGTTTGCGGGAGCAGTGGAATTGGTTGGGGTCAGAGGGAGGCGGAGGCGGAGGGGTGGTAGCAAAATGAGAAATCAACTCAAGTGAAACAGACAAAATTTAATTTTCAAAACAATGGTGTTTGTTCACCAGAAGTCAGGGTAAAACCAAACCATTGATTTGCTTGGATGTATGCCCATGTTCATACACAGACACATATTGCTGCTGAGGACATGTATGGACGAATACTATGTGCGTGTGGTTGTGAGCAATATTAAGGAGCCGCTCTATTGTGGAGGCCGTCAAAAGGATGAATTCAGTCGCAGCATCCGATGAAAATATTCTCTGCTCGAAAATAAATAGTTAAAACCACAACTGGTTATTTTTTGATTTATTTACTTTACGCCAACTAACTCTTTTAACATGGGCATGAGCTGGGCGGTGGACAATTGTCCATTCTTTGAAACTAACTCTAGACAAATTACTTCTAAGCCGATATATAGTCATTTAAAAAAAATGTTTTTTTTTTTCTGTGAAAAAGGGAGACCATTAAAAAAGTTTGGCGATTTTTATTCTTGTTTTGTTATAGTGAGAACAAATTTTTGACAATCTTAATTCTTAATTTGAAAGAGGAGAAGAATTTATAGATAGCCTGGCTGCAGTGTTTTTATACCCTCCACTTCGATACCCACCATTCTGTTTGTAACACCTCTAAATATTCGTCATAGATCCCATAAGAATATACATTCATCAGTCGATTTAACGATTTCCGTCTGTCTGTCGGTCATTTGACATAGCTTTAAAATTTTGCACAGTAGTTTGTATTGTGTCAAGGATGGTAGGTATTGGAAATGAGATGTATCGGTACACGTTTTTTGAAAACCCTCAAATTTATCGCCAGTTTGTCTATAAACTGGTATTTGAAGTTCGTTATAGGTTTTAGCTCCGTTGGCGGAATGTTGTAGATATAAGTTCACGTTTTCGTATAGCCCTCATATAACGGTACTTCCCGATATTCGGTATCTTGACGATTTTTGCACATTTCCAAGAATTTTTCTAAAAAAATGGTATTTGTTGTTTGTAATATGTTCCAGGAGTCGTATAGACTCCATACAATTGTACCTCAAGATATTCGGTATTTTGATGGTTTAGCCACATTTTCCACAGATTTGTCTAAAGTTAGGTATTTGTATTTCATAATGGGTTCTTCAACCAGTGACGAAACATTGTCCATATTGATCAAATTTTAATATGACGGTTCGGAATTTGATATTTGGTATATAGACCGATATTAGGTAGTTGTAGTTTAAAGTGTATTATGCGAATTATTGCAAATTAGTTTGATATAACCAGTTTTGGGTTTTTAAACTAATTTCACGTTAGTTTTAAATCAATTTATTTCCCCGCAGGGTATGCTCGTGTCAAGAAAGATGGTTTCTATAAATCTAAAAATGAAATGTAGTAAACATAACAGTTTCAGATCAATGGTTTTGTATAGGATTAAAGGCAATCATTTATTTTCGATTTCATCATAATCCACTTTTTGAACAATATTCAATATAAACGAACAGGGCTGATAAAATTCCTGTAGTTCATTCCTGAAACAAGTTATCGACAATTTCAATAATTAACGAATTGTGTCAGTAAATTAGCTACGAAAATGAAGTAGTCGTTCTTGAAATTTGCCGGCTACTGTAGGTAATGGCAAAAAACAGTTTGAGTATCCCACTACAGGTGAGTGAGTTGTTTCTTCGTTTTCTATAGGGAAGTTGAACAACTTATGATAATCCGTTAGCTTCGGAAACAAAAAAATTGAGCCAAAAACCTATTTTTTTTTTAATTGGGTTTAATAAGTCTCTTAGGGTCCGAAGAACACGAACGAACACTGGAAAGTATATAGTGCTGTTGTGGTATCAAGCATATGTTAATCAGTCTAAAAAACTCAAAGAGCGTTTTGTTCGGCTTTGTGCCGCCTCAAGTAGATGATAACTCACACTATAAGTTTTCAAAATACCAACGTAAAATTGTGAAGCTATCAGCCATAATAACCAACCAAGTTACTATAATTTGACATTTCGGACTCGTAGTGGATGAATATGATTCGACTTAATTATCCAACAGAGATATCGACCTACCGACGTTCCCGTCGTTACACGAAACAAAGGCGTCTCATCAATAAATAATAATTTGTTCCTTGAGAACTCAAAAACTGAACGGTTTAATGTCGGACGGATCCGACTTTATGATGCATTACACCACTATTCACATTAAGTAGAGCTTCCCATCCGTAACAAATAAACATTTATATCGGGAATTTAAGTGAAGTAGCTGATACGAACCATGATCGTTCTTGAATGCAATTTATGGCTTTATAACAGTTATAATTTTAAAACAAAGGAACTATGCATGGTATATCCAACTCTGAATAAATGTTCGTTAATTTTTGCGGATGCATTTTTAACTCTAAACATCTTAAATTGAAACATATATTTCTGAGATATACCTATATCTGATAACATTTTTACCAAAATCCATCCTACATGGTTACACTTTTGGTGCTCAATAATTCAGATCAGAAATCGGATATCGCTGTTCCAAATCTGATCCGATCTCTATAAAATTTAACAGAGGTATTTCTGTTCTGTATCTAGTAACTGACACCAAATATCGTTATTTTAGAGCGAATCGGATGAACAATATATACAGGAGCTATGGCTATATCTAAACCGATGTTCACAAAATGTGGCAGATATGCTTCTATGCTCAATATGGTCGTATGTACCAAATTCCTTCCTATTTG